GAGGGTATGTGCTATGGTGAGCACTGTGAATTGTGCAAGACTGTTGAATCACAGATCTGTACCTCTGAAACAAATAATATATTATATGTTAAAAAATATATATATATCTCCTTAAATAGTCATATCTGGAGGTCAGTGTACTAATGAATTTCTATGACCACAGCCCAAAATATGTAACATGCACAGATCTTCTGACAACCTGTTGCTTTCCACTGATCATAAATCACATCTCCTGGTCCCCCTGAAGTTGGCGGTCACCTCAAATCTCCATGTGCAACAGTTCTTAAGTCATTTTGCTTCTAATCTCTACTTACATAGTTGAGGATTTAGAACCAAAAACAGTATTTTGATTCCTATTAAGTCGTATATTTTTTCACAAAATATTGCAAGTCTTTCATTGTTCAAGGTCTTTTGGGATCTCGATTTTCTCAATACCCCATCTCCCAGTTTTGGCAAATTTACAAATAGGAAAACATGGGATCTGAATCTTCCTTGAAAATATAAACCTCCAGAGAATTCAGAGCCCAGTGGCTCTAAAAATCTGTTTTAAGTTTCAGTGCAATGAATTTTAAATGAGTTTGTTCTCAGTCCATACACTCATCATTTAAAAAATTCAAATTCCTTACTGAAATTCAGGTACACCAGGATTCCTGACTCCCTGGATTTATTGGCCCAGTTACCATTATCAAAGAAGGAAATGTTAGTCTGACTTGTCATTGGTTTCCCAATGAAACCAAGTTAGAATGTCATGATTCTTGTATCTTCTTCCACTTTTTGATAAATTATCCTTTTAATTATTTGTTCTAGAATAGTATTTTTCAACAGATATATAATGCTAAACACACATACAATCTTAAATGTACTAGTAGCCACATGTCAAAATATAAAAATAAACAGTTACAATTATTTTACTAATATGTTGTATTTAACCTAATATATTCAAAATATCATTTTAACATGTAATCAATATAAAAATAATTATTGAGAGTATTTACATTCCTTTTTTTTTACATTAAGTTTTCACATAAGTGAAATCAGCATGTGTTTCACAATTATAGCACATTTTAATTCACTTAAGAATTTGGCTCCTCATTTGCATTAGCCATATTTCAAGTGCTTAAGAGCCACATGACTAGTGGATACTGTAGTGGATGATGCAGTTACAGGGTCTCTGAGGTTTATTTAACCACCTTTCACGTTTTGAAAATTCAGAATGGCACCCATCTTTCAGGCTTTTGGCATTTTGTCCTTATTTAACAATTTCTCAATTAGAAGATTTGGTCAGTTACCTCGAGACTGTGGAATGTAATCTGTCCTCGTCAGCATACTCAAACACATTCGAAATAACTAGGTCATCCCTATTAATACTTCCCCTATCCTGACTTCAGTGAAATTTGGATAATTTGTGGACCACATCCTTTGTTTTGAAGAGAAGCAATGGGGGTCCTGAAGACAGTTCTAGAATTTAATCCAGCTCTGCCACAGATTGCCTGGCTAACCTCAGACACATTATTATAGTTCTCTATAAACAACAATATGAATAGGATTTACCTTACTTAATTATGGTGATGAATAAATAAGTAGATGTTAAGTGCTTAGCACAGTGTCTGGCATAGAGTAATTGCTCAAAAAATATTAGATGATGGGCAGGGAATATAAAGTGAGAGAGGATGCTTCCTTTCCCTTTGTCATCCATCAACTCCCACCAACTAGGTTATTAGTTCCTTGTTCTTTCTGTTCTAACATACAAAGAAAAACCTTCAACCTCTGTTTATTAGAAATTAATTTAGTTTATGGCCTCTTCTATTCTCCTTTCTCAGATAAATAATGATTCACCCAAATCTCATTACTGAACCCAACCCCTCAAAAACATGCATCCTCCTTTTTTCTTCTCTGAATCTTACCTTGACAGGGACTGCAGCCAGTAAGTCTTCCAAACTTTTACCTAGGATCCCAGCCAGATTTTCATCCAGATACCAAGAACCATCTGCATTCTGGAGGGAAATCAGCTGCACAAGATGATTATCTCCAAAGACTTTGGGGAAGAAAAAAAGAGAGAATGAGAAATTAGGGAACTACTGACCCCTTAGCATACCTGAGAAAGACAGATCTGACTTCAGAGACAGGCTATCGCAAGAGTGAAGAGTGAAGCAGATCCTACCAAGACACCTGTTTAGTCCTTCCTCTGTTTTCTCTGTGACAATGTAGGCCACCTGAGTGGTACACTAACTCTAGGGGTGCTACACTTAAAAATTTAGCAATAAGAAAATGATAATGCTGCTTAAAGTTTTATCCAGTCCTATTAATGGGCCTGAAACCTTGACATATATTAAAGAATTCTAGACCAATATAGATTGAATTTTAATTTTAAAAAATTTCAAAAGAAAACCAAAAGAACAGAACAGATCAACAAAACTAGGAGCTGGTTCTTTGAAAAAATTAACAAGATTGATAAACCCCTGGCCAGACTTATCAAAAAGAAAAAGACAGGACCCAAATAAACAAAATCATGAATGAAAGAGGAGAGATCACAACCAACACCAAAGAAATACAAACAATTATAAGAGCATATTATGAGCAACTCTATGCCAGCAA